TGAGTAGGTTGGCAAATTACAAGATCGGCGCAAGTTCTTCAGACTGTTGTTATGTTTGACTCTAAACGCTTCCCTTGAGACTACTAATAGGCACGAGTTCCGGCAAAGAAAGCGCTGACGACAACCACATAAATTCGAAGTGTTTCAAGGGCATTGCTCGGAATTTGAATAATCTACAAAAAAGCATAGATGCTTTACGGTAATCATTTCCTTTTATTAGTTGCGGGAAGGAAAACTTTTTTGGCTAATCATTCCTGGTTCCCTAGAAGAAATATGCGGTACAAAGCTGATGAGTCAAATTTCAGCTCACAACTCGCCTTATGTGCCAATTTTCTTTACTCAACGTTTTTCAAATGGGCATCGGACGAATTGTGCTCACCATTTTTCTTTTCATACTATATGGCAAAGACGATGCATGTCTCGGTTACACTCTCAGTTCTCGTCCATATGGCCGGGGTGAGTCTTCGAAAAGTAGTACAAAGCACTAGTAAATTATGAAAAATGTTAATTTAGGTTTTTCATGTTGTTGCACTCTCAATAATCCGATATTATTCTCTGGCTAGGCTAGCAGCTATCAATTCTTCACAACCATGGTTCACTTACAAGGTAAGCGTATTTGATAGTGGATTATTTTCCTACAGTAAAAACAAAATTACGTCGCACTTGGGAAAATCGAGAAAAAAACTCTGTTAACACTTCAACATTTTTCAATTTTTTTTCAGAAATGTCGCGTGTCTTTGACGATAATTTACGTAAGCGTAGCTATTATATGTATTCCTTTGCACTTCACATCGGAAGTGGTGATGGTAAGTGACTTTTCCTTCTTTTCACTTATTTTCGTAGTCTTTTATTATTCAGGTGCCAGAAAACGAGGGATGTGCAGCTCGATATCCGAATCTCCGGAACGCAACAAGTTTTCAACTTCAGTTCTCTTCCTTTCCCTATCTGCATACCTTCAACTTTTGGCTTTTCAATTTATGTTCCAAGATCGTACCATCGGTAAGTGTTCGCCAGCCTTTTGCTACCTACACTTCTCAAAAAAATTCAGTTACAGATTATTTTGTGCCTCATGACATTGCTGATTTTGGATCAACTGAAGCGTATCCGTCTATTAAGTGCACGATTTACCAGCGTTGAAAGAGACAAACAATATCAAAGAACTACGAATATGATTTTGGTGAGTATGGCGTCATTCGTCAGGAGTTTGTTTTTGTTACTGAAACGAGTAACTTGGTTGTCAGTCACTTACATACTCAATGTGGCAAAGAATCTGGAAAGAAAAGCCAAATAGAAGCCCAAACAAATGCCTCAAGCTATGCATTCATGAACACTAACAAAACGTCAAAGGATTCTCACACGAAAGGCTTTCAAAGGCAAACAAGGGATTTGTCGGAGGGGGAAAATATTTTTTATAAAGGGCAACAATGTGCGAAAAGTAAACATGGATAGCTTTTTTTGGCGGAAGTTGAGCAATATCAGGTGCTAATGCCTTCGATTGTTTGGTAACTGTAGAAGCCTGCTACCAAACTCAGCAAATTTTAGCACCTTTTTGTATAATTGCGCGTTTTGAGTGTCAGAAAAACGGTGCCCCAATGGGATGGGATTGGATTGAGCTCGAATCAAATTTTTATGTAAGAAAGCAGTTTTTACACATAAAAATATTATACAAAAGCAGCACAAGAAAGTGTAAATGAATGCGCAGTTTCGTTCGGAATAGCTGAGTCTGGACTACTTTATTACTCTTTTTTTCAGATTATCATGTTTATCTTCATCATTGTCGAATTTCCGCAAGGAATACTTGCTGTTCTATCGACGGTGACAGAATTGCAGCTCATAGTAGCATTAGGTATGTTAAATTCATTGATTCATAGAGTGCTCTTTTTGTTTTGGCAATTCTTTGAAGAGTAACCTCATTATTCAGGCGATATTACCGAGATGATTACTTTGCTAACATCTTGTATTATATTCGCCCTATTTTGCTTGATGAATGGAGCAATACGATCAGCGTTAATGGAATTGCCATGTCTCCGATGGCTGAGACATTGGACCCAAAGGGCCCTTGAAAAAGGGTAAGATTACAATAATTGCCCCCTGATCGTAAACACTCACCTTGCTAATTTCAGGATTGGACGAGGAAGGGCAAGTGACAAACTACTTGACTATTCCCTCACCAATAAAACAATTATCGACACTTCTAAAGATTATGCGGTTTTGTAAAAAAAAGTTGATTTTTTCATACGTAATAGAAATTGTTTACTGAACGGGTCTGTTATGTTTACTTACATTCATTCATTGTCTTATACTGCGGCTCATCTCGATTACGTGTATTTTTCATTATCATATATAAAGATTCTCACAGTTTTTTATTACATTTGTTTTGAGACAACTATCACATACATGTTCTTTTAAACGGAAAAAGATGGTACAAAAACGTACTTGGCAGTTTCAAACAATAAGTGATATATGTATGCGTTATCACTTGATCGATTAAGGAAAATCAAGAAATGTCGAAACCACCAAAAAATGTGGCTCCATAAGAATCCTAAATAAATTGAACCATAGCGTAGTTGCTCCCATCTCCCAGGATGTGTAAACATTGGCGATTTCTCGTCCATTTCTGAGTCTCTTATTTTTATACCATTACTCTTTTAACTGACAATCTTGAAATCTTCAATTTTCGCCTCTTGAAATTCGTGACCATGCGTCATGCTACGGAACCTAAAATATTAGTAAGTGGAAGCCAGAAAATATAATAATCTTCTTTCATATGTCGTAGCTGCAAATGCGCATAACCTTTTGAGTTGGAAAAAATCAGAGATTATCATCAAAGATTACATTTCTGTGCAAAAAGCACCTCGTGAGCACTATAATAGGATTAAGCAATTAACATGGTCATATGGCATAGGCTTTTGATGTGTTGATTCAGACGTTATGATCACTTGTAGTTGAGATTGAGCACATCACGTGCAAACATTTTCAAAAAGGGGAATCTAAATGATTTCTGTGAAATCGCTACGTTCAGTTTGAACTGGCACATTCTCCCAAGGCCGGATGTACAGTAGTCTTGCTAATTGGCGCCCCGAAACAAAGAGGAGAGGAGGTGGTGTGAAAGTGTATGGATGGGATGTAAA